AACTGGTTCTCTGTGAGCTTGGAACATTTGCGATGGAACTTGCCTTTGCAGCTGCTACATTAAATACCGATCCGTACATTTTTCTGGTATGAAGGAACGCCACAAACTACTGTCGATCTGGATGCGGTAACGTAGGCTTTTGGTCGGTCGCCACGATCCATTGCGTCGATCGATGGTAATCCCAGAGAGGCCCGAGCGCTTATGGTTTTTTGCCGGTCGCGTGTGCACTGAATTGTTTGCATGTTCAAGTTCGTCACCTTCTGTGCGTGTGGCCCAGGCGGGGCAGGTTTAAGCAGCTAGATCGTTCACGCGGCAAACCGAGCGGCTGAGCGATACGGACACGTCGTGTAGAGTAGCTACTTTGATGATCGGTCCACATCTGTGGTTGCTGATTCTTCAGAGGAAACGTGTAGTTAGCTTCCGTTTGAGACCACAAATATTTTTGCGTGGTTCGTGATTCGGAAAATTCCTCGATTGCGTTTTTGCGGGAATGGCGTAAGAACCACTATGTCGGTCAAATCAAGTGTCTGAATGAATATGGTGTCGCTGTTATGTAAGTCCCCAGTGATAACACAGAATAACCGATCAAGATTTGGCAGTAACCTAGAGATCACCTGCACAAATTTTCAACTCTGTTTCTCGCGTATGGTGCATAGGTTTCCAATAACAACGGAATTAAATCCACTCAAAAACTTTTGCCTACATTCAAGAAAATGGTGGGTGGTCGACTGTTTACTAGGAGACAAATATTAGTGGCCTTGATGCAACGAGTGCAGAATCTTTTGGAAGCGCATTTCGGTGACTATCTTCCCATCACAGACGGGTTTCAGAGAGAAATCCGCTGCTCAGTGATTTCCTCACACCGGACTCGGTGCTCCCGTAGAAAGTAACGGAATTTTGCATCCGTAGCCGTTGCAATCTGCTACACTCTTCTCATTTTCTTGTATTTGTGGTTTATCTTCTCTTTCGATGCCCGATTTCGTATTCCATCCAACCCGCTTTGGCGTTGGGTTGTGACACTCTTGAGACCTTGGTTCACTTTGAGATAAACCTCGGTCATTCCGATCGCGAGGACCGTATCCGAAATTCAAATTCAACTTTGAATTTCTTCCAGCAGTGCCAAGCGTTGCTCGCGGATCTCAGTAACGTAGTATTCAGGGCGTCAACCGTGAACTACTAGGCTCTGCATCACAATACAGAGGTACTTCCATTTCGGATACGGTCCTGGCGATCAGAATGACCAACGTTTACTTCAAACTGAACCGAGGTCTCAATAGAGGTTGCCTGTCGCAACCTAACGACACAGCGTGTTCCCTAAATTCAACTTTGAATTGCTTTCCGCTGTACCAAGCGTGCTCGCGGATCTCCGCAGCGTAGTGTTCAGGGCGTCAGCCGTGAACTACTAGGCTCTGAGTTTCACCCTATCTGAGACTATGCCACCTGTTGAGTCCAAACCAGGGCGAATCCGCGGTCGTGGTGTGCCAGTGTTGGGAGGAGCAACACCCAAATATTTCCATGTGTATTCAATGCTTGCTTCTGTTCATCATTATCATCATCATACACGTTAGCTAGAGGTGGGGAAGCCCTCAGCTACTGTGCCGCAAAACAAAGGAAAAAGGAGAAAAAAAGCACCTGGTGCAACCCGGCTGAGCTACCGGTAACGAATGGGCATAGTTCCGGTAAGCTACCAGCCGGCTACTATGGAGCAGAAAAAAATATTACTATGCAAAATTATATAGGGTTAAATAGTGAGATCGTGGTTGGAGTGGGAGGCTGAGGAATGGGGTGGGACAAAGATACTCATAGCACGAACGCCACTGAGCTCGGCTCCTAGCCATATCAATCAGTGTATCCAGCCAAACGTGTTCATCCTCTTTCAAACCCCAACCAGGGAGCCGTGACGCTCCAACCGAGGGCAGCTCTGAAGTGAGGGCCTTCATTCCTCTCGACCAAGTCATCGCTTGGCCACCCCTCCTCTTCTTCCATCCACACCCTCAACGCGCAAACAATGCACTTCGCGGGAGTCGGTGGGCTGGCATGCGTAACACGTGGCCGACCCATCGGAGCCGGGTGAGTGAAATAACGGTGCTGAGCGGTTCATTTCCTTTTCCTGTGCCATAAACAAGGCGTCGAACACGCTCGTTGCTCACGCGGTGTTCCCACCAAATGTGAGCTAAATTGCGAAGACATCGGTGGTCGAACGTAACTAACCTCTATATGTCCACTGATCTAAAGGGCCAGGTTTCACAACCGTACAGTAGGGTTGAACGTACCGCTGCATTGTCGCGCCGCCGCCATAAGTGGCGAAGGTTAGCAAAAGCGCCCCTAGCTTTTGCTATACGCCTCGTGATCTTATCTTCAATCTTACGGGCGCTGATACACCTTTCCAGGTATTTGAATTTTTGAACGACTTCTAGCTGATCGCCACCAAGAATCAGCGAAGGAGGCGGTCTAGACCAATCTTGTAGGAACACTTTGCACTTCGATGTTTCAAAGGTAAGCCCGAAGTGACGGACACCCAGTGCTAATTTGTCCAGTGCACCTTGACACGTCTGGGCAAGATCGTCAGCATACTCCAAGTCAAGAAGTCGTTCTCCCGGATGCAGACCCACACCTAAATCGTATCCTGTGAACGCGATTTTCATGAGTTCATCAGTAGCGAAGTTGAAGATTAAAGGTGACAGCCAGCATCCTTGTCTCACACCGCTGGAGATATTAAAGGGCGACGACAACCTTCCGTAAGCCCTCACTCTGTTTGAGCTACGCGCATATAATGCTCGGATAATATTTACATATTTCACAGGCACACCTTTCCTGAGTAGACAGTCCCTAAGTGCACGTCTATCCACCGAATCGAATGCACCTTTGATATCGAGGAACACGACGACGGTGGGCGCCAATAAATGTGACTGTGCTCCAACAACTGACGCAAGGTGAAGATGTGGTCAATGCAGCCACGACCTCGACGAAATCCAGCTTACTCTTCACGAATCTGGCTTTCACGAGTGCCATTCATTCTGTGAAGGAAGACAGAGTCAAGAAATTTGGAGGCGTTGGAGATCAAACTGATTCTTCTATGGCTGCCGCATTCCGATCGTGAGCCTCCCTTGAAAATTGGGACTATGACGGAGCGGTTCCAGTCGGTTGAGACACTTTCACTAGTAACTCGAGTAAATTATCCACAAGAGCAGTTTCCCCAAATTTGAAGAGGGCTGGAGGTAGATCATCAGGTCCCGCGGCTTTTTAGCTTCAACAGTTCGATGTCACGTTCAACTTCTGTGCGACATGGTGGATCCAAAGCGACAGCCCACGTAGCGGGGGATCACTGGCCGGCGAAAAATTGAACAATTCCGATCGATTACATTGCCTTTCAAAGTGTTCAGCGCAACGCTGCAAGCGTTTTGACAAGTTGTGGATAGGCTATTCACTCTCGTCACGTAGAGTTTCACTAACACCAGGTCTTCTGCGACCCGATTCCCGTGTCAGCCGGAATAACTTACGATGGCTGCCAACGGCAACGGCCATTGTCATCTCTGATGCACGATGAGACCACCAGGATTCGCGGTCTCTCTTCAGGCTAGCGCGGAGTTTTGCTCGAAGCACTGCGAGTTTCATTGTGTTCGCTTCCATTCGGAATATGCCGGCACACCGTTCTGATTACGATAGCCTACACTATGTTGACCGCCCAGATGCAGTTCATCATTGGATAATTTTCCAACGCGCGTTCAGATCCCCAGCCAGTAAAACACTGTCCGAGCTTCTTCTGTGGCAAAGGTGCTTGTCCATTTGGCGATATAAGTCGTCTTTTACCAAGTCATCGGTACAGTTTGTCGGTGCATAGGCAGCGATGACGAATAGACACCTGTTAGTCCCACGCGACTTCGAAGTTTAGAAGGAGCCAGCCAATCGGACCGCGCACATCCGGTTACTGATTGGAATTTAATCAACCAGAGTAGCTTCAGCCCGGGTGCTCAGGGCAATAACAACACCGGCTTGGTCGGTGCTCGAAGCTGCATCGTCACCGGATAGGCGCAATGGGAAAGTGCTGCTAGTTTCGCCTTATGGGGATCGCAGAGTGAACACAGAGCTCGAATCTTGTAGGCAGATCTCCGATAAGCAGCAGATATCGATCGTGAGGGTCTCTAATGTTCGGGCAAATGCTGCCTGTTGACCGATCTGAAGCAATGTGCGAACATTGAGGCATGTCAATCTTTAAGAGGATTGAGGTCTCGAAATGGAACCCGATGAACTTGGCTTGACCGATAGCTTGGACACGGGTCTGTTGGCAGTGCAGGAATGACGCTCCGGGTTCACATGTGAGTTGAAACAAAAAGACAAGCGACTATTGAAGCAAGGTGGGGGAGTGCCGATAATTGGGGGGTGGGAGAAAAGTGAAGCTGGAACGGGACGATAAGGGTAAAAAATTCGTAAGCGGGGGAATAGGAAGATGGAAGTAGCATCCAAACCCTTATCCGCCCTGCCTAATGCAGCAGGTATGGCAACGTTGATTATCCTCTGCGGTGGACAGAGCATCCGAAATTTGTTTGAAGAGAAATTCATTGTATTGCGTGAGCAGAATACTGTCAGGTTGCCCAGGCCTAGACAGGATAAGGATTAGGGTTCTCAACCAAGGGCTTTGATTCAAAAACTTTACCGCAAGGCAGCGGGTTTGGCATTGTGCTACAAGGAATCCGTTTTAAGGAATAAGGGGCCACCTTATTCCAACCCCCAACCTGGAGGACCAGGAGGCTGAGTTTGTCTAGCTTCTAACCATTGACCAATCTGGTATGAGTGGCTCTAAAGGTGCAAAAATGCACCACCCAGCAAAGCTCAATGGATCACTGAGGCACACAAACCATCGCACCGCGGTAAGGTCCAGGTTGATTGCGCTGGCTTGCTTTTGTTACTCATTGCTTGGTAGATATCTCAATCCTTTACGCCTGCTGATAACTAATTGCTCTCTTGCTTTTCGTATTTACTCTGTTTTTGATCTTTTATAGCGTCTGAGCACCCCAAACTCTTGGCCATGCCATCTTGAGCTTGGATATGAGATATCGCGTCCCTCAACCGGTGCCGACCCCAATCTTCCGTCGTCCACAATGGAACCGTCCAATGTTTGGGTGACCGAATATCCCTTGGTATCCCTTTTGAGTCCGGAGGATGCTTTAGAACATCTCTTGCGCCCCGATTGTTTCGTTTTGGATGTCAGAGATCCAGTGGATTTCTCTAAGTAAGTTTGTTGGCTGTTTTTTCGTGTCATTTATCGTATTGTACATGTATCTGTGTTTCCTTCAGAGTTACAGGTTTTCATGTCACGTGTTAAAGTTAGGGCAACGAAAGGATAATAAAAATTTTCTCACTCAATTATACTTGCATACTGACGATTGCCACTGATCCGAGTGCTTGCCATTTATTATACAAGACTAGTTAATATTTCAGATGAGTTTCAACAATTATTTCGATCCATTCATTGTTACTACGTGAGCGCGCCTACTTGGGATGAGTCGTTCGCTATTCAATCACTTGTGCTTTACTGGACTCGGTGAACCCTCGTCTGAATTCCATCCTTGTTTCCGGGTGCTATCGTAGAGTTTAGCCGATGCGTCATGAAAAGTGGTAGTTAAGTCGGCCAGGGTTGCTTTGCCTCACGTTGCTAATATCGCTTGCCAGCAATTAAGCAGAATGAGGGTGAAAAAGCTGCAGATCGCGTGAGGAAGCTTCAAGATGAATAATCTTGGTATTATTCGGTAGAAGCGTGGTCAACGGACTGCGATCTATCGTGTGTGACATTACCACTAAAGTCTCGGTTACGTAATGTTTGGTAAGACCTGCAGTCACTCATGTTGTAGATCATAATTCTGCTACCCGAGTAGGTGGCGCTTGCCAACTCTGTTCATATTTCAGTCCGTTTCGCCTTGCCATTTCCCTTTGGCTATCCTAGGTTTTCATTCCCTCTGGCGTATTATCAGAAATCACCGCCATGTAAGTTGTCTGTTTAGCACAGGCGCTCCTTTGAATTGCCCCATTGGCAGTTGCCCGCCACTCCATTCACGTATGTGCGATGATTCCTGGACATCGCGTGTCAGAAATGCGCGGTCAGCTAACGCTCTCGGTACCGGTCGACGATATCGGTTTCGTATTCCCCAACCCTGAGCAGCACATGCTGATTGGCTGCTTTCATTCGGCCTTACCACCATCTTTCAACAGGAGAACACTAGACAATCCTGATGGACATCAGTTCAGTTGGGGCACTTGGGTTACCTGGTCATGAAGCGGCTCTTAGCAATAGAGCTGACCGGATTGCTATTGAAAGTGTGTTTCTTAATGAGCCAAAAAGCATTTCTTGCTGTGAATTAAGACATCAGCACTGTCACTGGTTGCCACACGGGTGCAAGAGCCCCGGGTACCAAGGCATCGAATCATTCGGATACGTCTACGGAAGTACCATTCAATATTGCTTTTCTCATTTCCTGAGTCCACTGGACCTCCTTAACAATCCGCAAGTTCTCTCTCATTTCGCATCTTATGTCCTCCATCTGATCACGCTGTGCTTTCTGCAAGTATGGATACCTCTTCCGAATAGCAATGGATTCTTCAGCATCCTGGAAATGAAGTGTCATATTCGGAGACGACCGATGATGCCGCAAACGGAGGCTACTGCGCCATGCATTGCAGCATAATGCCTAACCAACGAAATTGCACGTTATCAGATTAATTAAACAACTGTGTACTGCATTTTTTGTCCTGGTTGGCTTACGTAAACGTAGGCTCAGGTATCTTCTCATCCGCTGATCTGCGCAATTCGTGGAAAATTGCGGCTTGTCTGGGCAGCATTACAGCTCTGGCGTATGATCTAAAACGAGTCGGAGTCAAGGATGATATCACTTCGCCCAAAGCTTATAGTGATGTGATAACTTTGAGTCTAGCATTTGATCATCCACCAATGAAAGCCTGGTAGGTTGGTAACGCTCACTGTACCTGATGACATTGATACAGGAAGGCAGTCGATGATGAACGCGCGCTTACAATAATGTTTTGCTCCTGCGCCTTACTACCCTCAACCACTGTCTGCTCTGGTTGTTTCACTGTATGGCTCTACCAACTTGCGTCTAAGTTAATGAAAAGAGGTGCATCGTCTTCTAAATTAGACAACCTGCAATTGTCAGCAAGAGGGGAACTAATCTATTGAAAGGCTGATTTGGAATTATCTGTTAGCTAAAATTCCCTAAGACTAGGGTTTTCAACTAGAAGACTTATGAGAGGTGCTAATTCTTCCACGGATTTCATGATGAGCCGATGGTGGAAGTTGATCATTCTCAAGAAGCGTTTTAGTGGTGGAAAACACCGAAATTAGCTGTGTTACATGAGATGCCGTTTCAATCAATACTATGACACAGAAACTGCAATAAAACCGCTCCAAAGTTACACTTTTGGGCGTTGGTCGATAACCGATACTTCTTCAGCCATGCAAACAAAGTAGCCTATGTTGAGGGTTGTTCTGGGCTATTACTAGCAACTTATAACTCATCCAGATACACAAATACAAAAGACAGACCAGAAAGAATCTGGCTAATGAAACGTTAGAATCTTACTACAGCATTATGTAAACCAAAAGTCATACGTAAAAGTTCAAAAATCCAAATGCGTAACGATGACCGTTTTCTGATCATCCTCAGGATTCATGAAAATCTGATAGTATGTGCAAAGTGTTTCGATAGGAGAATGCACGGTGAATCCTTGTAAATTGGCAGAACAGTCATCTAAGTGTGGGATTGGGTAACGGCATGGGGTTGTGATGTTATTAAGTGCTTAATAGTCACCGCAATGTCTCCAAGTCGATGAGGTTTTCTTCTGAGCCATATGTGACGGTGCTCTCCAAGTGATTTGTGAAGGTCGACTGATACCTGCTTGCAGTATATGTTGGAAGTCTTCCTTGGTGATGTACATTCTGTTGATGCAAACGGCATGGATAAACTTAAATGGAAGGCTGTTATTGGCGAGATAGTGAGTAATGATGTTAATGGGACTAGTCTGGTGAAAACTGGGTCTTACGTGTTCATGGATTGCAGTAACCAAATCGCAATAACGTGTCGAGTGTTGCGAAAGCAAAGTTAGTGAGCAGATAGAAGGGAACATACGATTTGGCCTTGAGACTCGGTGTGGGTCGCCGATCTAACAACCGTCAGCTCTTTAGATCCACTGATAGGTTGAAACAGGTCAACAAGTTAAACCTTAAAACCGGGTGGCCTACTTGTGCGACAATGAAAATTCACTGAATTCGTAGTCGTAAACCAAGATCCCTCGTTTTACTAGGTGTACAGTTGATTGCTGGTAAACTAAATGGTCGTGTGTTTAGATTGTCGCAAACACCAGTTGAAAGCATCGCGCTACTGTCTGCACCCGTATGGGATAGGAATCGTAATTCCGAGAACATGTGAATAACGATGACTGCTAGAAGTGACGCCGCCATCGCTTGGTATGCTCGTTTCCCGTTAATGATGAACTGAAATGAGTTTGTGGTACGAAATCCGTTGGGATTAACTGCATTCGCGAACGAATTATCTGAGCCGGTAGTGGTACCAACAGTGAGCTTTGTGAATCATGAATGTTACGAAATGGTGAACATTGCTTAGCTGATGTGGTTAGAATATGCCATAAGATAGGGTGGGATATATTTTTGGCGTCGGTTTTATTTTTTAACTTGTCCAGTCATTCGCCGGTAGTTGTTACAGGCGTTTGTGCGGCGATAGTGCGCGTTGTGTGGTCAGGGTTGAATTTCGAGTATCCTGTCAGCGATGCTCGATGGAGCTTCCCAATTTGATACATTAAAGGACTGCAACAGTATGGCTAAACGTTTAAGGAACGGTTACTCAAATGATGCATCGTCGTCAAACTGACGACTTCCCAACTAATTGTGTCGCCGAAGAAACAATTGAGATTTTCTATACAGCCATCTAGCATTTTGCTTCTGATTATTTGTTCCGAGCCTTCAACTTCTGACAATCTGGTCCGCTTCGAAATGGTAACTCGGTTTTTGCGGATTTAGGTTAAGTTGATCTGGCGAGTTACTAGGATGTCACGTGGATGTTGCATCTTTCTTCCTTGTGTTATATATCTCGAACTAATTCGGCTCGCACTTGGTTGGACCAGATGTACGTGCTATGATGACAACATGTTGAAAACTTCATAGAAACAGTGGTAGTGTCAAACGAAATTGGGAACATGCTGAAGGATGAAATGTCTTTTCGGACATTATAAGAAGATGTATTTGTTGTGTGTAGCAACGAGTAGACAAAGAAAAGTAAATACGTTAAATCACCGATTTGTTGGTGTTTACGTAACAATTTAGGTCTGGGAATAAATCATATTCCCAAAGTTAGTCAGAATGTTATTTTGATATATTCATCCCAGCAGCTCACATGCTACGTAATTCAACCACAATCCGAAAAATCACAATACGCGTTTCCCCCTAATGAAGCACGGTCCCCTGCAGAGGGTCGAACTCATGATCTCCAGAGGCAGTTGCAAGCTAGCCAGCAGCTTAAGCCATTGAGCCATGAGGGACGTCCGCCGGGCTACATAAATTGCAAGCTAACTGGGATATAGCACGACCTATCTTGCACTGCCACGCAGTTCTTACCAGTGCGTTTGGCATTGGCTAGCCTCCCAGGTCATGGCTTCCTCTCACTAAATGCTATGCCTATAACATTTGAAACTAGGACAGGCTACAATTTTTATTAAATATGAATCTGCTGAACAGTGAATGACAAGTCTACTCTATGCAGCCTGCATTCACGGCGCCTACTGTCAGTCAGGGCACGCGAACAACACAAAGGCTACAGGATTAACAGACTTCCGCCTTCTCAGTGCGTTGCAGTAAGTCCTGGCCTCTACGCTCAAAAGCGCCTCATGCTCTGACGTTGAAAAGCACTGATCACATCCGCGGCACCATGTACAACTGCGACTTTGATCTGAGGTTTCACCAGTAGTCCTGTCAACCACTGGATCTCTGCGTGATCCCTCCGGGTTCTCGAACCTCGTCAGGCAATCCCATTCGGCTTTGAGTACCATACACTATTTAGGCCACTAACGCTGGACTCAAACGGCTTATCCGTTAGAATCCTGGCCGACGCCCTTCTTTTACCGACTCAGACAAACTACCCACGAACTGATAACGGATCCATCTCACTGTCGGTTAACGATATGTGCATGAGGCGGTTTTATTCTGGG